AATAATATATATCTTGAACTGATGAACCCAGAGTAATACTACTTTCTCTTTCCAGATATCCAGAAGCACATTCCATGCTACCAGTTGTTCAGGTAAGAATCTTAAGTAAACAGGTATGAAAAGCTTAAATTAACCTAACTTAAACTTTTCAAGAGTTAAACTACATTACTGAAAATCACCTGGCTGTACTATAGTAGCCATATCCTTTGGAATTACAGATGCAAAGTGCCTATGTTATTCCTGTTTCGGTTCATGTTCTTTTTTGAGTGTTTTGTCTATGCATGTAGAAATAAAGATAAGGCATATGGCACATTCTGGTGAGCTGTGATAACATATAAACTACAGAATAATGTCAACATACTGGAAAAAACACCATTGTTTTCTAAAAGCATAGATCCCAACCCCTCACCCTCAAAAAAAGGAAAGAAGTAGAAAGGTAGCATCAGCCTTAGGCTTCTAAGTGGGTCAGAAAAAGAAACACTTGAAACTACCCTGTGGCAGGAGTAGTTTCAAGTACTAGTATTTCGAGTTCCCTCACAGATGGGAACACAGCTGAAGAGGTTTGCACCCCTATAAGGGGAGAATCTCAACACCATAACCTTCTCAAATCTCTCTAAAAACTAATAAACCCAGCTACTATTAGAAAGGCATTTCATATCAAATTGAAGGCATCTTACTCTTATTGTAGTTGAGAGCGTACAGATAATACCTTTAATTTGTGTCCCAGTACCACCAATGCCAGAACGTCTGTCCCCTACAAGGCCACCTATGTAGCTACTTGAATAATGAAGTTAATTGCACTGTCCTAGTAGACAAGCTGTGCCAGCATAGCTTTATGTTTATCAGGGGGAAAAAGCTATTAAAGTGAGATGACTGCAAGACTGCTAGGAATTAATTATTTCTACAGTAGCATTTTCCCCCCCTCTAATTGTCCTAATTTTCTTCCAGCTTTTATAATTCTGCAGGAGAACTGAATGAACTTGCCCTGAAGAAAATACTGTCAGGCTGTAAGAAGGTATTTTATTTTCAAACCTAAACCATACCAAGGAGCTCACTCATATTTTGGGGATTGTTGTGACTGTAGCTCTTGTATGAAGCTTTTCCTTCTCTCTTTTAAAATCTTGCATGCAGTTGCTCACAGTACTGGTCAAGGCAGCTGCATCAGGTTTTCCCCCAAAAGAATAGTTCAGGTTATTTTTGACTAGTGTTTGCCTACATGTATGTCACAACTTTTTTTTTTTTTTCTTTCTAATTTCTCAAGTGAACAGTTCAAATATTCCAGATAAATTCTACTGATTTCTGGGTCATGATCAGTTGAGGTCAGCTCGCTCAAGTGAATAAACATCACTTTACCAGAAAAATTTACAGTCTTCTCCACAGATGAAAGTTTCACAAGGGGAAAGTGGAAGCTGGAAAGAGACAAGCATCAAAATAACAGAACAAAGTTCACAGAGTTTCAGTTTGAGCATGAGCTCAGAAAAGAGGCTGGTTCAACACATGTTTTTTTTAAGGAAAGTAAGAAGTTGTCATCCTGGAAGTGGGCTTAGATCTTTTAAGGCTTTCAGGTTAACTAACTGCTTGAAGACATCACCAGACACTTCAGATTCATGATTCTCTAACGAATCCTCTGTTCAACAGTAACAATTAATTTTCTTCTGCCTGCAGAGTGTCATAGGATGGTACAAATTCAGACGTAACACAGACCAGACCATGACATTCCGGGAAAGACTTCTTCATAAGAATTTACAGTCACACCTATCAAATCAGGGTCTCGTATTCCTTTTATTAACCTCTAGTGTGATGACAGAAAGTTGTTCTACTTACAAACTGGAACATGCCTTACATCGTCCACAAGAAGGGTAATTGGTTTGTTACTTAGTTGTCATAAAACAGTAACACAGTAGGTGCTATAACTTGGACCGGTTTCAGGTTTTTTGTTGCAACTGAATTATTGTCAACATTGTTTATTTCACCCTTGAAGTTTACACATTAAATAAGATTATTCCTTATGTTGCTAGAGCCCTGTTGAAATCTTATCCTGGAGTTCTGTTCAGCAATTTGCCTTTATAACTATCTATAGTAACAGTGTCAGCAGGCAGACACTGTCAGCTCATTTACACACATAAGCTGTTTGTCATTAATTTGTTTTTGTGTACAGGACTTGAACTATGCATGTTCATCTTCACATATCATTGAAATATTAAAATTCCTAGCAATTTTTGGTTATCGTCAGAGACATGCTGCCCATAGGTTAGGCTTAATGAGCAGGTATTGCTTTGCTGTGTGACCTGTACCCAGAAATGGGAAAAAACCTAGAAGGATTGCCCTGAGTCTTGTTGCTCTTGCAGTTAGTTTGCCTTTAGCCGTAAGTAGTCATCTATGTGTGATGTAATACATATAGCAAGAACTAACTACACTGTAAACATCCATCTGGGATGCTTAATGATCAAGAACTCTTAGCTCGGTCAGTTGAGCGTGGCACTAACAACGCCCAAGGTCGCAGGTTCAGTTCCCGCTTGGTCCCCATGTGTTGCCTGATCTAGTTGAGAAGTGGCGTTCCTGGCGACAGGGAAGTTGGATTAAAATGATCTCTAAGGTCCCTTCCAGCCTAGGCCATTCTGTGATACGATAGGATTCTAACTATCAAAGAGAGGCCTTTGGATGTTAATAAATCACATTTTCCTACTTCTGCTTTAAGTCTTTTCCAGAAAGTTCCTTTGGTGGTTACCAACTTGGGTATGGCAGAACAGCAAGGTTACAGAACAGTGTCTGGTTCCTGTGTATCTTCTGGTTTTGTGAGAGCAGTAAGACAACACAGGTACAATATATGCCCTATTTACTGAGAGCTGTGGCTTTCAGTTAATATATAGTTATCTTTCTATAAGTATTTAAGTGCTTTTGCAAATGCTGCAGCCATACCCTGCGCTCACTTGTTGACCTGTTTTCCTGCAATTATTTACCTTTCCAAGGTATGTGGAAATTACTTAAGTCCCATACTGTGCAGTGAGAGAAGCTGTCTGTCTCTACATGGGCACCTAGTGTTGAAGCTCAGAATGCTTCTTTATTAATTATAGCTCTTATTAAGTAAGCATTAGGATCATTAGCTTGCAGTTATACCATTATATTCTTGGTCCACAGGTCAGAATTCTTTTACGAAGATGGATCCTTACAAGAGGTTCATAAGATAAATGAGATGTATGCCACCTTGCAGGAGGAACTGAAGGCAAGTCAGGCCACTGCTGTATCAGGCAGTTCCATTTACTGTTAGTAGCTGTACACCAAGTTCTTGAAGTTGAAGACAAGCTTCCATTTGATCAAAAGCACAGTGATATATCCTCAAGTACACTGATAAATTCTCATTTAGATTGTTTTGAAGGAGCACTATCTGTAGTTTGTCAGAACTCCACTGCTCAGATGGGAACAAGTAAAACATCTTGAACACTGTGTTGAACGAGGTGCAGGTTCTCTCTAAAATCCACCTCAGGCTCTTTACTTAAGCTTTTTAATACTCTGTCAGACTTAAAATCATGAATACCTTTAAGGGTTTTGCAATAAGGTTAAAGTCAGCTTCTGTGAATACAGTAAATCCCATCAAATGCTCTTTCCTGCAGAAAATATGCTCTACAGTAGAAGCCAGTGAACGATCTGTAGAGAAGCTCTTAGCAGAGGTGAGACAATTAAAAGAAGAAATAAAGAGGAAAAAACAACAACGTTCTTCAGGTAAGTTTGGCAATGCCAGTCTTAGTAAGACTTCCAAAATTGGTTCGATTGGCAAAAGCACAAAACTCTATGAACATGAGGAAGCCAAAACAGCAGTGGTGGTAGCAGTGTACAATACAGACTGCAACTTAAGCCTTTTTTTCTCCCTCCACAGGAGACCGAGACTACCCAGGAGAGACAAAGGAGAATGTTCTCCTTTGTCAGGCATTGAAAACATTTTTCCCCAATTCCAGACTTCAGACATGTATTGTTTCCTTCAAAGGTAGACAGATAGCCAAGAACTGCTGTAACCTTGACCATAATATTAATGTCATGGACAAACTGACTCTCATGGTAGAGCAAAGAGACTTCACAGAAGCTGAAACAAGGCACCTAACCAAGCGTAAAGTCAGAGGGACCACAGGAGGATCCAAGTCATTTAAGAAATCCAGATCGCTGCATCCTCACCAAAAATTACTTCAAGACCAAGAGGACAGTGACCAGGAAAGGAAGCTTACTCTGAGTAGCACTGAAACAGATGAGGACCTGATGGAAAAAGCTAGGGACACAAATGAATACTCATACTCTCCTACTTTTTGATCTGTTAATGATTCATCCATGACTTTGCACCAAAAGCTGTTGCCAGCATGTTCAGGTGACGTATGCAAGGATAAAAAATAGTAGTACATTTTTGCAAAACACAGGTTTGAGGGTTTTGTTTTGTTCTTAATTTGTTTTTTTTTTTTCCCCTCAATGCATGAATCCTGTTTGGCAGAGACAAACCCAGATGACATTCCCTCATTTTGCCTTCCAGAGTTAAATCTGTATTCACTCTCTCGGGGTTTAAAGACTATACTGAGCAAGGTGTCAGCAGTCACATAACCACATCACACACCACCTCAGAGTAACACAACTTGAAGCTGCTGTTGAAGAAGCAGTACTACCCTCCCCTCAGCAGAAGCATCAAAAGAACACAGGTATCTGCTTAATGGAATTATCTGTGTACATAAATTGCCACAATGTAATTTACCCTTAGCTATCCACTACTTGTTTAATTTTTCCCCCTTCCAAACCAGCAAGGGAAAAACAGCCACTTGAACTTCAGCAAGACCTGTGAGAGGAGGAGGTGGTCCATACAGCTGCCCATTTCTACTCTTGCTTTCATCTTTCATACTTCCTTCAGAAAAGTTGAGGGACTTGACACTTCATAAAAAAGCAGCTGACATTCACCCTTCAGTCAGTCACACATCATGCTAGCCAACCACATTTCCAGTAAACAAGTCTATAAACATGAAAAAGTAGTTTTATTGTTTATTTCTTTATATTACTCTGGATACTTGATATTACATATCTTGGGGTCTGTGAGAAATGATGGGTTCTTGAACATAACTGGCATAAATCCTGTAAAAAGATGGAAAGTTTTTTTAATAGGAAAGTAGACTTGACTTACAAAACTCAAAAAGCATCATCATACTCACCAAATACATGGGCTCTTTTAATGGCTTTTGTAATTTCCTTCTGCTTCTTGTTACACAAGCCTAGAAAGAGAGAAATCATTTTCAGTCTCTTAAGAATAACCAAGTCATTAAAGGATGAACGTGATACTACTGGCAATTCCCTCTAGCTTTGTCTAAGTCTTCCTAGAAGACTACACATGTGCTTGTGTAAAGAGAATTAAGCAGTATTTTTTACTCCTTGATGAAGGCTAGTAAGGCAGAAGAACACCATTACAAAATGTATAGAGTTGACAGTAGCTGCTTTTGTAAAGGTGGGTGATAAGTAGTTGCTTGGACTCACCAGAGCATTAACAGTAACCAGTAAATGATCTGATATTTTACATACCTGTTATATGCCTGCCATAAATGCAGCCAGTGTGCGGAGAAATAAACTGGGAGAGAAGCTGTTTAAAATGAAGAAACCCAACTCAGTTTAAGAAATTTTTTTAGATAACTTTAGTTTCTTTTACTACTTGCATTTTGGGTTGGTTTTTTTTACAAAATTCAGTTCTACCTGGAGATTAGAAAAAGTATAGCCATTTAAGCTATATGACAGTGGAATTAGAATTGGGGACTCTATTTGGTAAATAAAGTTTTAACACCTGCACATAGGACTAGTAGACTGAACATATCACAGCTACATTATTTGACCCTCATCTGCACACATTCTTAAGTTTTAAATCCCAAAAGCATATGCATTTTTTGGTCTTTTTCCTTGTGAACTTGCTACACACACACATTTAAAAATACTAAACCAGTTACCTTCATCTAAGGACAGGAATTCTCAAACTCACCTGCACATTCTTGTAGTCTACATTTATTCCACACAAGATACATCTTTTAGGAGGCTCTTTATAGGGGTTCTCCATTTGTATGGGCTAAAATTAGAGAATTATCAGCATGTATAAGCTTCACAAGAAAAAACAAATAATGTTCATTATTTTCACCTGGGCAAAACATGCTTTGAAACCAAAAGCAGTATTTAGTGCATCACTGCAGTTAAAATATTTTTCTGTATCTCCAACACAGTGACTGATACGTAGTAATCTAAAAAACAGCTGCCTATGTGTTAGTAATAATGACAATATAACAAGTCAAAGCAATCCATAAGATAGGGCTTATATCCTTTGGTTAGAGGGCAATATCTACAGAAGCTAGTAGGAAGGTGGTTCTGTCTGGTAAGTCACAAGACTTTTTTTGAATTTAATTTCAATGCAGATGGCCTAAAGGAGCTTGTCTGCTCCCACACTTCAACAGAGAGGTCCCAAAATACCTCCCAAGCCCTGAAAGGCTCCTTACACTTCAAAACAGCACATAGCACCAAATCCTTGCAAAATACAAGTAAAAGAACTGTAGACTGGTTTGGGTTGTAAGAGACCTTAAAAATTATGTAGTTCCCACCTCCCCAGCCATGGGCAGGGACATCTGCCACTAGAGCAGGTTGCTCAGAGCCCCATCCAGCCTGGCCTTGGACACTTCCATGGATTGGGCATCCGCAACCTTCTGGGCAACCTGTTCCTGTGTCTCACCACCCTCACAGTAAGGAACTTCTTCCCAATGCCTAATCTAACTCTACCCTTCTCCAGTCTAAAAATCTTCCCCCTAATCCTAGAGGAATTCTAGTTTACCCTTGTAAACTAAACAGTCCCTCCCCAGCTTTCCTGTAGCCCCTTCAGGCACTGGCAGGGCTCAACAGCCCCAGCTCTCTCAGCCTGTCCTTGCAGGAGAGATGCTCCAGCCCCCAACTGTCTGTGTGACCATGCTCCGGGCCCACTCCAACAGGTCCACATCCTTCTTGTGTTGGGGGCTCCAGAGCCAGACTCAGAATGAAAAGATGACATTTTTGTAGACATAGTAAAATTAAGGCAGAAAAAGAACAATTTAGAATATGCTTGTTGGTACTAAACAACACATTTTTATGAGATAACCACCACAACAAGGGCATTCTCTTAACTCCTTTTCTCAACTGTGCAGAGGGAATCTGCTGCCTAAGGTTTTGCCCCACACTAGAGACATTAAGACTTAAGTGACCACAGTCAAGGCACGGGACAGCAGATGAACAGCGCCTCAGCGCTGGGTCCCTGCTCTCTCACACACCAACTCACTGAATTCATTTTTTTTAAGGAGCCTGAGCTACGTGAACACTGGAGTAAAGCGGTTCCACACGCCACTGCCGCCC